TCCATCCCATCAGCAAACAATCACAAAACTGTCAAACAAAATTACTAGGAAGCACAGTAAACATGTTTTTAAGGCTAATATTTAAAAGTGAGAAATTTGAAAAATAATGTAACAGTAAAAAACTACAATCACTAATGACTTTTTCAAAAAATAAAAACAATAACAGAATCAAACATTTCACTACAATAGTCCCTGTTGTGGCTTTCATGAAACACTAACAATATACATAAATTAAAAATAATTTAAAAAATTTTTGTTAAATGATAAATATTCATAGCAAAACCTTCTGCACGTCAGTATACTAATCAAGCAAATTTGTTTTTCTGGACACAAAAGCAGAAGCTCTGCAAACATGTTTTCCACCATTGAAAAATAATCTTCTATAACAGTACAGATATAACATCTAGATATGAGCACATGATACTGACAGTAGTATAGGTGGATCCAGATGAGCACATGCCCACCCCTTTGAGAAAAAATTAAAAACAAAAGGCAAGAAAAAGTTATGGTGTTGATTTTATTATCTTAAGCATTTCATCATAATCTGGCTCATATTTTGTATACTCATGCCTGTCATTTCTAATACATTTTGTTGCTAATGCCTCTCTCTAAACATGTGATTTAATCTTCAAACTATTTTTTTGGAAAAAAATATGATACATGTGTATAAAAAAAAACGAGTTTTTCAAGCAAGATAAATCTAAAAAATATTCACTAACCTCCTTATCACTTTCATCATCTTCACTCACATTCACTGCTGGTTCACCAGCCTGGGCCATTTTTTGAGAGATATTCACTACCAAATGTTTCAAATTCTCATCTTCTTAATCCATAACTTAACTGCAACAATTACTAAAAAGAACATTTGAACAAAAAAATTGTTGACATTATGGTATTTTTTAAATCAGTGTATTAGTACTTAATAACATAAAAATCTGGTAGCTATTCTTTAACTCTTTAAAGGAATCTACAGTTCTGTAAAGTAATTATTTTACATAAAAAATAAACTATGACTACCTCTACTTATAAACCAAAAAATGAAAAGCTGATGTGTTTTTAGCCATAAATACAAACACAAGGTAATGATTTAGTTATGACAAATACTTGGGTTTCATAAAAACTTAAAAATCAATGAAATGAATACTTTCTTGAGCACAATAAAAATAAAGGTGTAACAGTTCCCTATAGTATAGTAATTTGAATGGCTGGTATGAAGTTTCTTTTGGAAATTAACCACCATACACCATTTCAGACTGAGAAAAAATATTTTTAAATGTGCTTGTTCCACTGAAGTCAATAGGAAAATAACTATTTTTACAAACTGATTTAGTGTACAAATTTGTATAAATTCAATAAATTGTACTGTTAACTGTAAATGACAGAAATGTAAAACCTGATTCTATTTATTATTGATCAAAAAATTACTTTATATATACATAATGATTATGAACTTCTTTTAAATTCATTAACATACTTGTTTTTGAGATTTTCTTCTGATCTTTTTTTGCCCATTGAAGCAATTACATAAAATGATTAAAAGCACACACGTCTCATATTATTGATACGAGTTACTATGAAATTGAAATGTCAATTCACAACGTACTATTAGCCACTATGCTCATGAGTGCCAAGCATTATTACCTGAATCAGAGTAGCATTTTCTATAGGTTTCAAAAAGAAATAATGTAACAAAAACCCAATGTCAGCAACATCAAAAATTTCACATCACACCTTGAAAACTTGTAAATGTCAAAACTTCCATTACAAAGGATTGAAATATCATTTACATCATTTTGAAACTTAGATCCTTCCTTTTACAATGCTTTTGAAAGGAATGGTTGCTCTTGTGCACAACCATCTTTTCAAACTCACTTATCCCCAGCCAATTTTTACTCATCCAGGTTGAATAGGTGGGAGATTTTTCATATCCTGCCATTTAGAACATAGAATAAGCAAAGTAAAAAAGGTTATTAAGCACAAAGTGGTCAATTTTTTCCAATCTCCAACTATATTAAATTTGGTTCTTCATATTTATATAAATATTCAACAAAAATTCTAAATTAATCTAAAAACAAAAAACATAAACATGATTATGAGGCAACCCATTCTATAAATTTATAACTCATAACATAAAATTAATTTTTCCACAGATCAAGTTTAGATATTTGCTTTTAAAGCTAGTAGTTTCTTATTAATTCTACTATTCATAAAAGCATTTTGAGCTATTTTTCCCCTATCACTCAATACCAGATCCTCTAAGCTATTAACAATTTTAAACACTCAAATCAAGTCACCTTTAGTTTTCTTTACTCCAGAAGAAACAAATCCAAATCTTTCTGTAATGGGGTCAACCCGTTTCAAGGGGTGATACATATGCTTGGCCAAGTTAGTACAAGTTGGGAAGTTCTGTCCCTTGTATATGAATTATAGGATAATGCAATAGAATGCTAGTCCAACTTGAAAGTGCTATATTTCATAATCATTGCTCCCATTAATTTCCTATGCAAACGTGTATTATTCTTGCTTTTGTCCTAGTTCTGTACAGGCATTTTAGGAACTGTCTCTCTTTCTCTATCCTAGCAACAAACTGCAGTCATTCTGTGAAACTGGCCTGTAAGTTAGGTTTGTAATTTGCATTATTGTGAATAAATATAGTTTTATTTGTTCACCTGTGTTATCTGTTTCCTTAGCTGTCAGGGTTCAAAATTATTTTCTCCATAACATTCCTGGAAAATGCATTTCACAGATACTTATAACTACTTGACATATCAGTATACCTAAACCAGCATCATTTTATATCTACATTCTTCTGCTGTTGGACAGAAGCATGTCTCAGAGAAAATGACTAAAAATTGTAAACCCTAGAGGGAGTGAATTCCTTTAAATATTTGAGGTTCAAGAACAAGGCAGGACAGAACTGCACTTAGGAGATTTTATGCACAATATGCATAGCCAGAACTACAATCCATAATCTCTTTACCCTATTAAGAAATTTCAATGTCAGAAGGATGACCTAGCAAAGGCTTTTGATATGTAAACTTATAAGTAGTTGTGAAAAATTTTCTAAGGAGGGCCAAGAACAAGTTATTCAGCAACTTTGAATGCAGCATCACCTTCCTAGACAAGTGAAGAAGCTAACATTATTTGGTCATATCTTAAAGCAAATAAAAATAGACATGCTACCATAGTTATGGAGGGTAAAAGGTGAAGAAAACTGCATATAGTACTCTGAATGAGATATTACCAATCTTATACTATAACATTTATAAACTAAGTGTTTCATTTGTAGTTCTCAATATTCAAGATCAATATCCAAATTTAACCCATTCTGTAATACTGTCTGGCTCCTAAATAAAATATAAAACAATTCTGAACAGCATCAACTCGTTTCAGTAGGTAAGTATCGTGGATGAATTTTTCTGTCAGAAGCTGTCCAAAGTTTCATATAAAGCACGAGGAAGTTCCAAAAATAAATCCATGAGAGCCCTGGCTAATCACATTCTCCCAAATGGAGACAATGCCCATTTATTACCAACATTTTCTTTCTATCACTAGGCTAATTTTCAGTACATCAATTTCATATGATATTTCTTTTATTATATTTTTTGTGCAAAACCAATTATCCTAATCTTGTTTTGATAATATTTTGAAAGAGCAACCAACACAGTGTTTAGATGTGAACTACTGGAACTTTTTCACGTTATCATACTAAATTTCATACAGTTGATTGCTTTGGTACAACTTATCTAACATTATTATTACTTTACACACTAGCTGTAATAATATGTAAATTACAAACTACGTAACTAAAAACTGCATTTACTGTTTGTGCCAGAAGTTTTGAGTCTTAGTGTGGAAACCTACTGATACGATTCTGAAGATAAAACTGTATATATGGACACACTGCAGAAAGTGTCCATTGAGATAAAAGAGGATGATAATGCTGAAAAATGAAAATCCATGATCAGTGAAAACTATGGGGAGAGGATTAGTTTAAAACAAAATTCTAAGCAACATATTAAACCCCACCCCAATGCAGAACACAAAGAATGAAAGAGAAACTGAGTGATTTTTGCATAAGTAATACAGAGGCAATTTAAAAAATTTATTTATAGGGTAAACTCCAGTTTACTCCATCACTTGTACCATAATGTTGTGATTTCCCAATTGTTTATGCAGGTAGTGTGGGATAAAAGTCTCCATTATTCAAGTAAGTGCATATGTGTTATGGTCACTCTCTCTCAACTGTTCTGTAGGCAACTGTTGTCTGTCTTTAATGCTAACAATAGTTGAAGCTTATTGGATAATTTACTATGGCCTAGGACAGAAGTTATCTACTGAATCAACAGAATGTTATAATAAAGCTTCAAGTAACTGGTGATCATGTCCTTTTCTATGGATCACTGAAAAAGACAAATTTTGCAAATTCAGAGACCAAAGCACAAGTCTTTCAGTTAGTTCTCAAGCAGTCTCTGGTCATTTTAGTGCAGCATAATCTGTGACCATGTGAAAACTTTGCCATCTACATACATTTTAAATGTTTCTATGGCCCAAACAAAAAATTCTAATTCTGTTATCATATAATTTCTCTTGGCTGAATAGAGTTCTGCTTGCAAAAGCAATTCCACCTTTCAGTTACAGAGATAATTACCTCCTTGATTTGTAAACAATAGCATCTTAAAATTCTATCACCTTATTTCCAGCAACAATGCATTGTTTCAATGGCTTGAATGACTTACCCATCACTATGCCAAAATTCTTTTCTTCAGTCATATAATTGAGTAAGTTCTAATCTATACTGAACATGTGATCCAAATTTTGATAAATCAATTGCACTACATTGCATTTACTTTAATTAAGGTCATTTGCCAAAATTTTTGTCAAACTTAACACCAAGTCATTCTGTAGTCCCTCAACATCCTCAAAACAGATATAAATAGTCACAAGTTTAATATCATCAGTAAACTTAATAATTTACTAATGAAACTCCCATCAGTATCATTAATGCAAAAAAGGAAAAAGTAAAGAACCAAGCAAGCACTCCATGAGTAACGGGTTCATTTTGACTAGACTCCATTAATAAAAACATCTTTCCTTTCTCTCATCCAACCACCCTAAAAACTAATTACTACTCTTTTTCCCAAGCTCTACTTATGTGATTTTCTTACCCAATCTTCTGTGTAGCACCTTCTCAAAGTTTTTGAAATCTTATTTTCCATCATCCATATAACAAGTAACATTCTAAATAAATTAACAATTTAGTAAAGCAACATTTTCCTTCAGTGAATCCATGTTAGCTTTCTTTGGTAATACTTCACTACAAAGCTTATTTTATCAGACTATAGAGGTAAAACTTACTGGTCTTTACTTTCCATGGCAATTGTCTATTGTCTGTTAAATTATCAAAAATGAATGAGAGTGTACTAAGTTTAAAAAGTAGTAGCAGTACTATTACTAGTACTACTAGCATCAGCTATGCATTGTAAACCACCATTATATTTAATACAGGAACACTAGATATACTAATACAGTACAATCGCGGTATTAATAATACTATTAATTTATATAATCTAATAGTAATATAAATGTTACAGTACTGACAGAAAACTATACATTATAGTATAATAAAATAATCTGGCAATGCACCTGCTGTACTTTTATAATTTCACTAGCTTCACTTGTAGCTGACTAAACTGTAAAGAAACCTGTGCAAGTGTGCTGTAATCACATTATAACCCACGTCAAATTTGAAATTATAAAAATGATAAAGCTAAATAGTAAAAACTAAAATTCCAACTATTTGAACTAACGTTTTAAATAAATACATTTTGTTATATTTCAAATTTATAATATAGCACAAAAACTCAAAAGCAAAACATTATATGCTATTTCTAAACTGAAAAGCTACATTATGTTATAGATATCATTAAAATTTCCTCACCAAATACATACCCCAGAACGAAAGATACTTTTAACTATAAGCAATCTTCTGAAAATTTTGGATGATGGCGCATACAAACTTAAGCGCCACCTTTCCAAAATCAAAAGTTGCAAATTGAAACAGATTTTATTTATTTCTTCATCTCTTTTAATGATTATTAGCATTAACATTTCTGTTGAATATATTTCTATTTTAAAAATACATAATGATAAAAACACTTAGAATTAAGTATATAAACGTACTTAGATTGATGCATTGTACTTCAAAATCGGAACTATTTCAAATATTAATCTTAAACAACGCGAAATATAAATTCCAGCTAATATACCCGTTCAACGCACGGAGAAGACATAGGGACCCTTCGGGGGTGACATGAGGGGGGGGAGTATCCGAACATCAACCCCCACTGTCACTTCTCGGATGGTCCTAAGGGTATGTGTCAGGTATGCAGACAGTTGGTCCTCTCATGTGATCATGGTAATAATTTCAGTTGACATCGAATTCAAAGAAAACTAACATGTGGATGCTCAGAAAAAATATTTTCTCTTTATTCCGCTCGTGGTTGAAGGATATTATTACGACAGCGGAAGTCACGTGACTCTGGAAGCATGCGCGCTGGAGTTTCTAGAAGGATCACGACTGTTCCTGGCAACTCTAGTCTTTTTTAAGCGCCCTCTATTTTAGTATACAAACCCGGCAAATAAAGTGGAAATATAATTGCAGATAGAGAGATATAAAGACAGATAATTGAGTCAAGCGAGCGGTAATGACTGTAAGTAAAATGCGTGAATCGTTGTGAATTATAGCGTATGTTTAACTGAAAGTGACTGTGGAAATTCTGTGTATTGCAAAGTTGTACTGAAAAAGAATAAACTAGTTTTATTTAAGAAAGGACTTATATCGCTGAAGTTTCTCGGAAAGAATTTCTACGGGAAATTAACAAACGAACAGAGATGCAACAATATTTATGCCTAAAAATGGAACTAAGGAGGCTAACATTTACATTAACTATACCTGGAGCGGTGGTAGCCAATGGAAAAGCGGGAAGAAGAAAACCAAAAGTATTTGATGTGTACTGTCTTTCTGTCGATGTGAGTTTTTCATGCCTTGAGGGAAATTCGGTTGTGTGATAATACTGCGTGATTAAAAATGTGACGGAAGCACCTAGTTCAAAGTAACTTGCTTTACTCTATACATATAACTAGATGTATCTCTGCAGGGTCCTCGAAAGTGTCCTGTTTCAAGAGTATTTATACCCCGGCAGAGGTCTAGAACGTTCCACATAATACTAGATATTATGTTGCAATAATACTCATTTAAAAAACGAGAAAACTCAGAAGGTTCTAGTAACATGACGCAATATTATAACAATCACCAATTCATAACTATTGAACTACTCAACGTGTGATTCGTAAACAGTTACGTAAACAAACCCACGATAAAATAAACTAAAAATAACTAAATTTAACACTCGCATTAAACTTAAATTGAAACAGTCGTGTATAACTAACAATCATTAAGGAATAAGACATATAAAGGAGGGCTTAAGACTGCTCCTGTGGTAAACCTGCCTGTGAATTAAATAGATCGGACTCGGAATTGTTAATTTTGATTTTTGATTTTCTATTTAACAGGAAACTGGATATCCATCTCATTACTGTTGTGGGAATTTACTTTGGATTAGTTTATATCTCAAGCCTTGGTGCCAGGCGGAATCAAGAACTTGCTTTACGTCCGAGAAGAGACTTATTGTTGTATGTTTTTTATTAAATCCCTGGATAACAGATTCGGTAATTCTTACAATATGATCGGCTGTTTATCTATTTTCCGCGATGCATTTTGAATTTCTTTTGATATATTGTTGTTTTCTAAGTACCATAATAAACGCGTTGTGATTATCTTCTCTAACAGTTTTCCTATATTATCTAATAAACTAATTGGCCTGTAGTTTTTCGAATCTTTAGCAGCAGGAGTATTTTTTGGTAAAATTTTAATTACGGTTCATTTCCATTGGTGTGTATGTGTTTTGTTATAGCAAAACCACATTGGGCTATCTGCTGTGTTCACCGAGGGGAATCGAACCCCTAATTTTAGCGTTGTAAATCCGAAGACTTACTCCTGTCCCACCGGGGGACTCTTGAATTGAGGGATAGATTTAAAAATGGCCGAAGATATAATGGAAGGGTTTCAGAATCGTTATAAATAATTATATTGCGGATAGCATTCTAGCCTGGTGAGATGTTTTAATTTTTTGGACTGTGATTTTAACTTCAGTGAAAGTTATAGGATTGGTTATATAGTCTACGTCTGCTACATTAAATGATCTGGATGTTTGTGTGGTGCATGGAAAGACTGGATTAAAAATATTTCGTTGTTGTTTTCTATGTAAGTTTCTATGTTATTGTAATGTTGATTATTAAAATGGGGGGATCAAAGGTTTTAAAAACTTGTTTATAGTACTCTGCTAAAAATATTTGCTTTTTGTGATCCGAAATTGCTGTTATATTATTTTATTCCAAATTAGAAATCTCTATATTATTATTTTCATGGCCTTAAAGTTTTCCAAAACACAGTGAGGTTTTGTCGTGAATTGTTTATAGATGCACAGCAATTTGCCCACTTAACATCTCTTTGATTTTTGATAAGTTTGCGGATTCTATTTTTTACACGGTCAGTGTTTGTTTTGATTGATTGATCACATGTTGTGATAAACTGTGTGCGTAACCAGTGAATGTGAGAAGATATTTCATTCGTAAGTTTCCATGAGTTCGGACAGAGTCAGGACTATTGTAGTATCTGTTATATCTTTAGTGAGAGCTGTAGCTATCAATTTCTGTTTCATTGTTAGCTTTGGTAGGGATTTCGGGTAGTAGAGCGTCAGTTTCATTTCTAAAAGCTTCACAGTTGGTAGAAGTAAAATTAAAAACTTTGGGTAAAGTGGATGCAGACAAGTTATGACTATTGAAAGTGGTAATGGAGATTGGGTTATAGTCACCATCAATGTTTTCATGAACTTTAAAGTTAGATGTGCGTGGGATTAATGCTGGGATGATCATAGCAAGATCTAATATTTCTTGTGTTCCGTTGTGGTGCGTGTGAATTTAGACGTGTTGTCATTGACTATGATCAGATTATGTTGTATAATGAAGTCGTTGACTATTTTGAAATTACGGTTGCTTGTTCTACAGTGAAAATCTTTGTTTTGAGTTTAGGTTTGGTAATGATAATTATTCTTGGGGTTTTGAGTAATTGTGTTCTGTAATCGGTTTATATCGGGTATTGTGGTCGGTGATATACATAAGGCTAGGACAGTGATTTTATATTGGTTTGCTGGGTGAAGCTCGCACAAAATATATTCATCATGTGAGTTGTAATTACTGACGGGAAGGTAATTTTCATATTGGGATTATATAAAAGGCTGTATCCTCTTTTGTTTGGGCTTCTGTAATAAGGCATGTAAAAATTACCATTTCTTTAAAAGTAAAGTTTCGTGAATCGCAATGATGTAAAATTTGTCATTACTAACAGATCAAATAGTTCAAATTTTTATAGTATAAATCACCGTGAAGGTTGGTTGATAATCTTAACATCTTACCTGTTTAGGTGATGGTCAAGTCTCTTGAGGATGTAGTCCCTGAATGAGTATAATTCAATGCTCCTGATCCCAATGTAGTACGGATCATGGTTCTCTGTGAGAGTGCTGACAGGATAATGTCCGTCACAAAAGACATTATTCTTTCGATGAGCTTGCTGTGGTCAGTTGGTGTCTTTGAGACAGGCTCTTTCTGTCGTCGGATGTTGGTTACGTCAGTGTATGTCTGTTGTTTGTTGCTGTTGGTCGTGACTGGTTAGGTCGGCTGGGTAGATGATGTTGACTGCCATGGCTATGGGGCGGGTTGGTCGCTGCCGAGGCTTGGTAACTTGAGGTTCCCTCTAATTAATGGGCTTCTTGTTGAGTTGCCAGTCATAATGGTTGTAGGGTTTTCTTCTTCTCGAAGGTGATTATCTGGGCGAATTTGAGGCAACCTCTATAAGAAACCATGTGTGATCTACCACAGTTGGTGCAGCATGAGTCTTCTTTCTGTCTTGGGCACTTGGTGACGGGATGGAGACCTTCACATCTGACGCAACATGGCGAGGTTGTGCAAATTGCCCTGGCGTGTCTGTACTTGTGGTAGTTGTAACACTGCAGAACCAGGACAGACATGGAGTTTCTTGCTTCTTCTACCAGGTAGAGGTAAACCACAGGTTGAGGCGGTTCATGATGAGGTTGTCAGCTTTAGCAACGTCTTTGATGGTAATCCTGGTTAGTAGTGTCATCTGGCTAGTCTTGAATGACTTGATTCGGTCGGCACTGGTTGTTTCGATCCTCTGACTTGCTAGCTCTTCTCGGATCTCCTCTGGCATGTTATCCTTGCTGACTCCTTTGATAGTGACTGTCTTCGGTGGTTCTGGTTCTCCTGGGATATGTACATTGATCTTGGCACCATTGAAGGTGTTCTTTAGCCATGGCTTGAATAGTTTAACATATTCCCGTGGGTGTTAATATCTGAAGACAACACCTCCTCGAGCTAGTCGTCAAATTTCGGTATAAGTCGTGGCTGGGAACAAAGTTTTCAATTGTCGGGCTATGTCTGGTTGTCGAAAAGCCATGGGTACTCCTTCCACAGTTGTGACTGGAAGTGGCAGTGGATGTTTCTCCTTGGTCGTTGCTTCACTTGGTACGTCATTGATAGTTGCGGTCTAACGTGGTGAGACAGGTGGAGGGGTTCAACTGGCTTGTTCTGTGCTTCCTTGAGTGGAGAGTCTTGGCTTCCAGCTGAGATTGTACTGGTGTTTGTGTCATTATCAATACTTGTTCTGTGCTTCCTTGAGTGGAGAGTCTTGGCTTCGAGCTGAGATTGTACGGGTGTTCGTATCATTATCAATACTTGTGGCTAATTACTCGGAATCAGAACTCATGTTATCGGTGACTACCTGTAGCATCTCTAGTCGTTATGTAGGGGACAATGATGGATCTGCAGCTCTCGTGCATGATCATAAAAGTTTTATTAGTAGTCCTTAAAATAACTGTTTTAATACAGAGAAAG